GGTCTGCGGAGGCTCCCTCGGCTGCCGCCCGACATTGGGGAAGCGCTGAGCTCACTTACGGGGGTCCCCTCCATTACGTGCACCCCATCATTTCCACGGCCACGCATTCACTCTGTGAGCCACGGGGCCGGTGTGGGGTGCTGTGGCCGGCCCCGCTCAGCAGCCCCATCCCCTGCGGACCAGGCCACCAGCAGATAACGCCCCAGCCCCGGCCAGGCGCCCTCAGAGGCAGAGGCAGAGGCAGAGGCGGGGTGACAGCACCCCCATTCCAGAGGACAGAGCCGCCCCCAGACATGTGGCCCAGCATCAGGCTCTCCCCTCGGGGGTTAGAGCCTCTTGGCCTCAGCAGACCAGACGCGGGGCCCCCGCCCAGGCCAGGCTCAGACTGCCCCGTGTGCAGGGAAGCCCGTGGACTTCGATGCCTACGGGGACGCCCACATCGCCGCCGCCGTCCTGAAGGCCTTCCTGCAGGAGCTGCCGCAGCCGCTGCTCACCGTCCCCGCCTACGAGCAGGCCCTCAGCATCACCAGTAGGTGCCGCCCCGGTGCCAGCCATCCCTCCGGGGCTCTGCCAGCCTCAGCCGGGCCCGTGTCCGAGGGTCTCTGGGAGGCAGCAGCCAGGCACTGGAGAAGGGAGGGGGCTGGGGTAGAAGCTCGGGCCATCGGCGGGGCACTGTGCCCTGCCCCTGGCCCTCCCCTCGGGCACTCAGGAGGCCCCGTGCCATGGCAGGTGTGGAGAGCAGCCTGCGGGTGACCCGCTGCCGCCAGATCCTGCAGGGTCTGCCCGACCACAACCGCGCGGTGCTCGACTACCTCATGGGCTTCCTGCACCAGGTGAGCAGGCAGGGCTGCCGGCGAGGCCCGGCCTCCACGCCAGCGCCGCCGGCCAGGTCCGGGGCCGCCCACCTCGGCCTTGGGACGCCACCCCTGGCCCCAGAGGGCTTCCTCCAAGGCCCGGCAGGCAGGGACTCCATTGGGCAGCCCTGTGTGCCATAGCCAGGGCCACCCTGCCACTCCTGCACGCTGCCCTGGTCACTGCCCTGGGCCTTCCTTCCTGGGACCTCTGCTCCCACACCGCCTCCTGATCGGAGGGGGCGGGGGAGGGAGCCTGGAGGGTGGGCTGTGTCCCAGGCCGTCTGTCTGGCTGGGTGAAGCCAGGGGCCCGCCATGCCCTCTGTGCCAGAGGCCCCACCTCGGGGTAGAAGAGGAGTCGGGAAGGCTGAGGGGTCCCAGAGGAGACTGTAGCAGGTCAGAGCCGGAGGCGGGTCCCTCTGCATCAAGGCCAAGCCCTTCCGCTTGCAGATGGGGAAACTGAGGCGCGGAGCAGGGAGGTGGCAGCGCCAGGCCGTCCCCCGCACGGGACCCACGCCCCCCCTCGCCCCCGGTCTGCCCGCAGGTGTCCCGGGAGAGCCTCTTCAACAAGATGAGCAGCTCCAACCTGGCCTGCATCTTCGGCCTCAACCTCATCTGGCCGTCGCAGGGGGCGGCCTCGCTGGGCGCCCTGGTGCCCCTGAACCTGTTCACCGAGCTGCTGATCGAGCACCACGGCAAGGTCTTCAGCGCCCGGGACGCCTGCGGGGCGCCGGCCGGCCCGGCCGGAGAGGGGGAGCCGGGCCAGCCGGGCGGCCCCATCGCCGGAGGCCGCACTGCGCCCACCAGGCCTCCGGCCCCCAGCAGCCGCCCGGGGACGCCGCTGGTGCTGGAAGTGTCCCGCTGACGTGTGCCCGTCCATGCACACGTGTGTCCTGTAAACTCACAGTAAATGCCCTCCCGGTGGCAGTGCCTGGCCCTGGTCCCTGGGCGCTGGCCACGTTCCCGAGCCGTGGGCGGGGATGCGGGGGTGGGTCTGGGGGAGTCCTAACTCCGGGGCCGTCTGAGGGGGGCCTCGATGGGGGGAGGCCTGTATCTGTCAGTGGCAGCTGCAGTAACGCCGGGTAGCCAGCTGGGCGGCGCTGTGCCCATGGAGCAGAGGCCAAGGCCGCCTCGCTCTGGCTGCTGCCGCCCATGCTCGCACACCGTGGGCCCACGCCGGTCTCGCGGCCTAGGCCGGGATGGCAGTGAGCGGGCCTGCAGAGTTACTTGGCAAAGGTGGCCGGGGGGTAGGAGGGAGAATGGGGTGGTAAACTGGGGGCCTGGCCAGCCCATTGCAAGGACGCGGCTCTGTGGCAGCTGCTGGAGAAACATCGGTAAGAGAGGCATCGAGGGGCTGCCTGCCGCACGCGCCCTCACCAGGGCCCAGGCCAGGGAGGAGCCTGCCACCGAGGTACGTGCCCTTGACCGGGAATTGAACTCAGGACCCTCCTGCCAACCGGTCGATGCTCTATCCACTGAACCACACCTGCCAGGGCTCTTTATTCTTTTTTTCAAACGCACCCTGGCAGCTCTGACCATCGGCACAGGGAGCCCAGGGCAGGCCTCAGTGGGGTTCCCAAGGGGGTCTCAGTCTGAGCCCAGGAAAGCCCCAGTCCCCGCCTCGGCCCTGGAGGAGCCGCGGGCCCCAGCGCCGGCCCCCAGCAGGGCGTCTTGTACTCAGCCAGCTCAGCGCACCCCAGAAGCGGCCTCAGGCACCTGGACCTCAGCCTCCCGCCTCCTGGAGAATACATGTCTGTGGTTTGAGCTGTGCAGTCTGTGGGGCCTAGTCATGGCCACCCCCTACACACACACACCCCCTACACACACACACACACACACACACACACCAGTGTCCCAGCCGCACAGCCCTCTGGGAAGTGGAGTCCCCATCACCTCGGTCATGTAAACAGGCCACAGAGAGGGTGACCGTTGGACAGCCTGCACCCTCCACCCCCGGGGCTTCCATCCGCAAGGCCAGGGAGCCAGGACCGGCCCTGCTCTCTCTGGCCTGGGTCAGAGGGGGCTGGGAGGGCGCTGGAGGGGCACTGCCCCCCCCCGGGCTGCCTGCACCCGGGCACAGGACCCCGGGCTGGCTGGGCGGGCACAGGACCCCGGGCTGCCTGCACCCGGGCACAGGACCCCGGGCCGTCTGCACCCGGGCACAGGACCCCGGGCCGTCTGCACCCGGGCACAGGACCCCGGGCCGTCTGCACCCGGGCACAGGACCCTGAGCGGGCGGGCACAGGACCCCGGGCTGTCTGCACCCGGGCACAGGACCCCGGGCTGGCTGGGCGGGCACAGGACCCCGGGCTGTCTGCACCCGGGCAAAGGACCCCAAGGCTGGCTGGGCGGGACAGGACCCCAGGCTGGCTGGGCGGTGCACAGGACCCTGAGCAGGCCAGGACCCCGGGCTGGCTGGGCGGGCACAGGACCCTGGGCGGGCACAGGACCCCGGGCTGGCTGGGTAAGCAGAGCTGCGGGAGGCAGATGTCCATGCTCTCTGGGTCCCTTTGATGGCAGAGCTGCCGCAGGGAGGAGGGGGCAGGGAGGATGGGCCTTTGGAGGGAGACCCCGTCCTGGTCAGGGGCTGGGGGTGGCCCTCTCGGTGGGAGTGGGTGGGCCGGGCTCCCCACCACACCGCAGGAGCACACACCGCGGGAGCACGGGCAGTCTTCACTCAGTGCACCCTTCACCCCGCTTTGCCGGGCCAGGTGGGGGCCCCTGGGCCTGGGCAGGGGCAGCCCCGCGGCCAGAGCTCTGACCCAGGATGAAGGCAGTGGAGTCCGCAGCAGAGGACCAGGCTGGAGGCAGCTCGGGCAGACGCCAGAGGCTGGGGGGTAGGGGGTGGGAGGAGGCGGCTCAGGCATGCAGAGGCCAGCCGAGGTGTGGACCCAGGGCCTCCGCCTCCCCACACTCAGGCAGAAGCCAAGCCGTCACCCTGTGTGACCAGGGCCCACCGTGGCTGTCGCAGCCCCTGCTGGGTGGGCTGTGCAGCTCTGTGCCCCTTCTCCCCCGTGTGTCCCTCAGACCCAGGCCTCCCGCGGACAGTCAATTCCCATTGGACCCCTGCTCTGGCCACAGCTGAGGCACAGGGGGCTCCTCCCAGCCTGGCCGGGCAGGGAGCCCCGTGCAGGGGGCAGGCTCCCAGTCTGGCAGCTCCCTGGCTGTGGGACCTTGTGTGCCTGTGGGACGGGTGGTGACGGTCCAGTGTGGCCAGCGCCTCCCCATGCCTGGCCTGCAGGTTGCTACTGGCAACATCCGTTCTGGCCCCAATAGGTGCACCTGTCACCTCCTGGGGAGGCGGTTGGCCTGCAGAGGGCGCCCGTGAGCTGCCCTCCCACCTCCCTGGGCTTCCCCTCCCAATGCCCAGTCCCGCCCCACGTGCTCCCAGGGCCTTTGCTGAGGCTGCAAATAAACCACAGGGCTCCGCGATCATCAACTGAGTTTAATGCGTTCAACAGACGAACTACGCGGGCCAAGGTACGGCGAACACTGGTCTCTACCCTCACTACCCACTGGGCGGGCTCCTCAGTCCAAACACCACGTCTCCAGACGCGCCAGCAGCTGCCCCTCCCGGGCCCGGCCTTTCCCGTCCGCCATCACGTTTGTCAGAGTTGAGCCCAGGACACCCGCGAAGGAAAGGAGCCCAGAGAGAGCCTGAAGACTCCACGTGGGGGCCAAGGAAGATGCATCGTGGGCGTCGGCAGTGGCCGGCGGGGAAGACATGCGTCTCAGTCTGCTTTGTCCGTCAGTAAAAGAATATAGAATCTGGTTGCACCCAGTGTCGAGTATATGAAAATAGATCTGTATCGTACAGCACAGTGTCTCCGGGGTCGTGGCCGTGGCAGCGGGGGCCGTGGCCTGCAGCGCGGACAGGCCTCCCTGCTCCTGGGTCTGCGTGTGCCTGTGGGTCTGGGGCCGTGTGCGTGCACACACGCGTGTGTTCAGTGAGTTTGGCACCGTGTGACGTGCTGGGGGTGGGAGCTGCGGCTCCCGTGCTTGTCTGTCTGCTGGGCGAGGTCCCTGGGGGCTGGAGGGGCTGGTGGAGGTGGTGAGGGGCACAGACCATGGGGACGCAGGAGCCCTGAGAGGCCAGCACACCCCCTGCGCCCCGGGACACCCCCTCCCGAGGCCACATGCCCGCCCGCCCGCCCCCGGTGTCTCTGGTCCAGCGGCAGCGGCTCTGAGCGCCCTTTCACATTAAATATCTCCCAATAAACACGCAGTGATTTTTGGCTTAGTGTCCCTCCTGGCCAAAGCCAGGGTGGAATGCTCTCCTGGCTCTTCGGAAGGAGGAAATAAGGGCTTCCCAGACGGGGAATGATCCCACCCAAATGGAACACGCGCCATGCCCCCCGCATGGCTGTGGAAACTCCGTGAGAAAAACGCTCCCACAGCCAATGGGCCAAAGCAGCCGGGGGAGGGAGGCACAGGCGAGGGGTGTGGTGCCCGGCCTGGGGCAGGGGCGCTGACGGGGGACACAGCAGCCCCCCCCCCCCCCCCCCCCCCCCCCGGAGCGCAGTTTCAAGTCAAACAGCTGCTAATACTGACCAATGGGCCTGGGTGTCTGCAAGGCACGGAGCACCCCGCCCTGGGCGTGGCCCCATAAGGGAGGGGCCTAGAGTCCTACTAGATTCTCTACCCTTTCCTGTCCCACTACCACTACTCAGCTGGCTGCGTCCGGCTCCGCCCCACCGGGCACTGGTCCTGGGATGGGGCACGCTGGCCCTCAGCCGGGAGCGCCCTGGCCCCTCACACTTCTGCACGAGGGAGGGAGGTGTGGGGACAGCCGTGCGGGAAGCCCGAGGCTTGGGCAGTCCCACCACAGCAGGCCGATGGCGCGCCTGCCTGAATCTGAACATGGGGGGACTCCACCTGCACCCCCAACCCCACCCCCGGCTGGAGGAGGAGTCTCTCTCACTCCACTGCCTTCCCTCCTGTCCTGTCCTGTCTGGCTCTGTTTGTGAAATTCACATTGTTCAGTGGTTAAGGCTGACAGAACCCTGGGAGTGTGGGCGGGTCCCAGTGACTCTCCGTGGGTGTGAAGACGGGCCCTCGGGTCAGTTGTGTCCCTGGGGGTGCTGGAGGGCGGCGTGCCTGGCTGGGGCCGAGGGCTTGGTCCAGGGCCCCGCCAGCCGCGGGGGGACCTGGCGCACCTGCTCGCCCTGTATCAGTCTCAGGAGGGCCCGCAGGCGGTCCAGGGCCGACTGGGCGCCGCTCTGCCGGGCCAGCAGGCTCACCTTCAGCTCCAGGCATTTCTGTGGGGGAGGGGGCAGAGAGGAGGTCTCAGAATTCAACTGTGCAGGCAGCCTGGGCAGCACCCCTCACCCCCCCTCCCACAGCCTCTCCCTCCACCGCAGAGCCTGAGAGATACCAGGCAGAGAGCCTCACAGAAAGCAGGCAGCAGCGAAAGCGGAACCAAAAAGCAGCCAGACCCACAGAAGTTTGTTTTAGACTCGGGGTTACAGAGTGTGTGTTTTTGGGGACGTGGGAACCTCCTGCTCACACTGCCACGCGACCGAGCCCCCGGCGCCGTCTCTCCTCGCTGGAGGAGCTCAGAGCCAGCCGTGCGGCGCACAACCTTCAGGCGCCAGCCAGCTCCCTGCGCCGTGTCCCGCAGGCTGTATCCGGCCTTTTCTAGCCTGAATGTGTATCATAGCAACGAGCACAGGACTGAGACCTCCACTCAGGCTATCTGCTGCTTAGGCCAATAGCTTAAAGTCCCTGAGACTGTGCCCGAAAAGCTAAGATAGGAATAATCAGAGTATCTTCATACTTCACTGAAAGAGCTTACGAGGGCATGGCACTGCTTTTACCATCATTGTCACCACCAGCACCATCATCACCACCATCACCACCATCACCACCATCACCATCATCACCACCACCATCACCACCATCACCACCATCACCACCATCACCACCAACATCACCATCATCACCATCATCACCACCATCACCACCATCACCACCACCATCACCACCATCACCATCTCTATCACCACTGTCACCATCATCACTACCACCATCACCACCATCACCACCATCACCACCACCATCACCACCATCATCATCACCATCTCTATCACCATCACCACCATCACCACCGACATCACCATCATCACCACCATCACCACCATCACCATCTCTATCACCACTGTCACCACCAGCACCATCATCACCACCAGCACCATCATCACCACCAGCACCATCATCACCACCATCACCATCATCACCACCAACATCACCACCATCACCACCATCACCATCTCTATCACCACTGTCACCACCATCACCACCATCACCATCATCACCACCGACATCACCATCATCACCACCGACATCACCACCATCACCACCATCACCACCATCACCATCATCACCACCATCACCACCATCATCACCACCATCACCATCTCTATCACCACTGTCACCACCATCACCACCATCACCATCATCACCACCGACATCACCATCATCACCACCACCACCACCACCATCACCACCATCACCATCTCTATCACCACTATCACCACCATCACCATCATTACCATCATCTCTACCACCACCATCACCAGTCATCACCATTACTATCATCATCATCATCACCACCATCACCACCACCATCTCTATTACCACCATCCCCACCATCCCCACCATCACCACCACCAGCACCAGCACCACCGCCACCATCACATCTGTCACGTTGTCCTGTCACCGCCCTCCAGGGAGGAACCATGTCCGCTTTGCACAACAGGGCGCTGGCTCAGGGACGGCCAGGCGCCGGTCCCGGGCTGAGAAGGAGCAGACTCGCAGGGAGCTGCCGATGACCGTCTGTCGGGTGAGGCCCCTGACTGGCAGCGAGGTACTGGCGGCCTCTCTCCTGGGGCTTCGGATCCACACCCCGTGGTTCTGGGGCGGCCCCTCCCCGCGCCCCGAGCCCCCGCACCTTCACGGCAGAGGCCAGGCGCCGGTCCCGCTCCTCCAGCCGCTGGCGCCCGCTCTGCAGCTCGCTGCCTCTCCGCAGCAGCTTCTGCCTCTCCTCTTCTTTGACTGCGAGAGGGCGGGCCGCCCCAGAGGGCAGGTCAGCCTGGGAAGCCGAGGTGGGCGCCTACAGCCACACCCTCCCACAGGCGCCGTGGCCCTGGCTGGACACGTGGGGACTGGAATACCCTCCTCCCACGATCCTGCCCTGCCCCAGGCCCATCCCCGGGCCCTCTCCCAGAGTCCGGGCCGGAGCAGCCCCAGGGGCCTGGCGGGGGCGGAGGAGGGAGCAGGTGCCCGCCCGGTTCCACCTGTCTTGTGGGTGAGGTAGGAGCGCACGATGGCCAGCATCCCGGTCCAGGGCACACTCCCGTCAGTCCTGAGGGCCTGCAGGGCAGAGACCCGCCACGCCCCAAGGAGGTGAGCCTGGGGAGGCACAGCACTCTGAGCTGCAGGTCCTTCAGCGGGACCAGGGGCGGGCACCCAGGGCCTCACACGGAGCCTGGCACAAGCAGGCTGAATCTTCCCCAACGAGAGAACAATACAGGAGCACTTGTCCTGTGCCCACGTCCTGGGGCCCGAGAGCAGCGGGGACGAACCCGGGGCCAGGGAGGCCCCCCATCATGCTGGAGTGTGAAGCTGTGACCCCCGGCAGGCACAGGGCAGGGGCCTGTCCCACAACCAGCCTCCCCCAGCTCCCCACCCCGTGCCCTGCCCTCCCTGTCGGCACCTCAGGGACCACCCGGAGGCACAGGTCTGCACAGCCTGAGACGCGGTGCTGGGGACAGGCTCACCCCCGGGTGGCACCGGCCCCTCACCTTGTGCTGGCACTTGGGGCACAGCCACACGCCCTCGGGCGCCGCGGGGCGGGGCGGGTCCAGGCAGCGGAGGTGGTAGGCGCGGGGGCAGGTGCCGCAGGGCTGCAGGTTGGCGCCCCCCTGGCAGGCCGCACAGCGCTCATCATGGGCGACCTCACTCTGGAAGAAGGGGCGCAGGTGAGTGCGGCCCCCACACTCTGCCGCCCTGCCCGCTCCTGACCCAGCCACGCCAGCAGCTCCGGGAGGAGGGGGAGGCCGGACGGGACCAGCAGGGGTAGCGGGGGTTCCTGGCACTTAGTAGGGTCACGAGTGCTCGCTGGGCATGGAGTGGCCCAGGGCCCCGATTCCTCCACCTGAGCCGGGACCCCCAGTGTGGGGGCGGGGGCGGGGCGGGGCTCCTGAGGCTGAGGACTGTCGGGTGCCTGTCCAGGGCGGGGACGGGCCAAAGCTCCCGCGATGGGTCCTGTGTGTGAGCAGGTCACATCCTCGCAGTCCTCACGGCACCAGATCTAACCGGTGTCTCACAGCCAGTGGCTCCTGCGCACCTCCATCTCCACGTCCGCCCGTGGCCGGTGGGAGGACTCCGCAGTCAGGCACACAGAGCCCCAGGGGCGGCAAGCACCCGCCTCAGAAAGGGGCTCAGCCATCGTCAGCCTTACTTACCCCTCCAGCCAGGGAGCTCACTACCTCTCCAGCCCAGGCGGCTCTGAGAGTGACGAGTTATCATAACCACACCGTGACCTGCACAACCTGCGTGACCTCCCTCCGCCCAGAGAAACCCTCCCCCGAGTCACATCTGCTCTCCCCACGTGAGCTCCTGCCCCCTTCAGACCTGGGAGGGGCCAGAGGCTCTCAGAGGGCCGGCCGGGCCGCCAGGACACGGGGTCCCCCGCTGACTCTGAAGGAGGCCTCGGACCCTGCCCGCACCTCTACTTTCAGTTCCAGGACCCCGAGAGGGTGAGCAGCTTGCCCGAGGTCACCCAGGAGCTGCGGGTGGAGCCAGGACCAGCATCTGGGCCTCCTACCCCGCAGCCAAGGCCCCTCCAGCTCTGTGGGCTCTTCGGGGTGGGGCTCGGCCTGGGCCAGGCCCGGGGCGGCTGCGGACACAGGCGCCAGGCCCTCTGGCCCCGGTCACGACCGTGCAGGCTCACCAGGCAAACAGCGCAGCCTGAGCGGAGTTTACACCCGTCACCTACTGCTTCCAGCAGCCGGTCATCACTGGCACGAGGGACAGGAAGACTCAGAATTAAACCGTAAATGTAGACAGAGAAACACGAATGAACTCTGAGCCAGGCCTTCAGTGCGGTCACAGCCAGCCCGTCCTGGGAGGCAGGGACGTGCTTGTGCACGGGGGACTGGGGCCTCCCAGGATCACAGGAATGTGGGTATGTGGGTGAGATCCTGCCAGTCTCACCCCTCGGGAGCGGGCAGTGGTCACACAGTGAGGCCTGGCAGAGACAGGAAGAGCCCAGCTGGCAGCCAGCCCGCATGGGTCCGGGTCCCCACCTCCTCAGCACCGGGCAGAGGGCCAGAGGGCTCCCCCTGCCCCACGGGCTGCCGACTGCCGGCCGGCTGGGAGGTGGACAGGGCAAAGCCCTGGGCACCCAGGGCAGAGCCCAAAGGCTCTCGGCTCCGCCCCCGGGCAGGACCCTGGGCCCTCACCCCCGCCAGGAAGATCCTACCTGGACTGGGGGAAGCATGCCCCCCACATACCTTCGGAGCACATACCTTCCAGCAGGGGTCCTCAGAGGCTAGCACAGGGAGGAAGGGCAGAGAACATGTTAGTGGGCATCTGGGGAGCACCAATCAGGACTGGAGTCCGTCAGGCCGTGTGGCCAGGTTCTCACTCAGGGCATGATGGGAGAATCACAGCCCCAGTGTGGCCAGGTTTTCACCCAGGGCATGATGGGAGTATCACAACCCAGTGACACCTGGTTCTCACCCAGGGCATGATGGGAGTATCACAACCCAGTGACAGCTGGTTCTCACCCAGGGCATGATGGGAGAATCACAGCCCCAGTGACAGCTGGTTCTCGCCCAGGGCATGATGGGAGTATCACAGCCCAGTGACAGCTGGTTCTCACCAGGGCATTATGGGAGTATCACAGCCCAGTGACAGCTGGTTCTCATCCAGGGCATGATGGGAGAATCACAGCCCAGTGACAGCTGGTTTTCACCAGGGCATGATGGGAGTATCACAGCCCAGTGACAGCTGGTTCTCGCCCAGGGCATGATGGGAGTAAGGGTTTCTGCCCTGGTCACGGGAAGAACCCGCCATGGACCAGGCTCGCGGTGGCCCACGTGGCTGAGGAGCAGGGCAGTTGGGAACGTGGGGCGGAGGGAGGGCTCATGCCTCCAGTGAGAACACGGGGCTCACTCTGAGCTCCTGTTACCCATAACCCCTCACTGCAGTGAGTGATGCCCAGCACACCTCCCAGTGACCTCGCTGGCTACGGTGACACCAGCAGGGAGGCCCTGGCTGCAGATGCAGGTGCTGGGGGGGCCCTCCTGGCACAGGGTCCTCACCCTGACCCGGTCGGTTCTGTGGAGGGCGGTGCCACCGCAGTGGCCGTGGGCACCCGGGCCGGCTGCTCACCTCGTGCCGTGAGGAGCAGGGGGCCGTGCAGGTAGCTGGACGCCAGCCGCTTCCTCTGCGGGGACAGAAACAAACCGACAGCGGGCGCCCGCTCAGGCTGTGTCCCCGCCGGGCTCCCGGCCCCGAGGGATCCCGGGAGGCAGACCCGGGACAGGCCCGGAGACAGACACGGGGACAGGCCCCGAGACAGACACGGGGACAGGCCCGGAGACAGACACGGGACAGGCCCGGAGACAGACATGGGGACAGGCCCGGAGACAGACACGGGACAGGCCCCGAGACAGACACGGGACAGGCCCGGAGACAGACACGGGACAGGCCACAAACCGACCCCGGGCGCCCGCTCAGGCTGTGTCCCCGCCGGGCTCCTGGCCCCGCGGGATCCTGAGAGGCAGACACGGGGACAGGCCCGGGACGCGGGGCGGGCAGGGGGGCGGGGCCCTGTGTCCTCCCAGTGGGAAGGCCATAGGACCCACCCGGGGGCAGATCGGTAACAGAGGACTGTGGTGCCCCATCGCCTGTCTGTGTCCTCTCTCTTGGCGGTTCTGGGGTTCGGTGGGGAAACGGGGTGTACGGATGAGCTCCCAACCCCACTTTCCGCACGTGCCCCGGGAGCCCGGGGGCCAGACAAGGAGGGCCCTCTGCACCCGGCGGCCCCGCTGCCTCCGCCTCGGGTGGAGCTCCCTCCTCCCCCACCCCAACCCTTGACCCCCGCCACGGGGTCCCACGATGTGGCTCCAGTCCGGAACCCACTGCTCTGGCTGTGACTGTTCAGAAAGATTGTTCTAGAGTCTGTGTTTGGCTTAAACCATCTCTCAGAGGTGGTCCAACCTCGGGAGAAGCCCATGAAGGGCTGCCCTGACCTACTGTGTGCCCTGACCTACTTTGTGCCCTGACCTACCATGTGCCCTGACCAACTCTGTGCCCTAACCTACTGTGTGCCCTGACCTACTATGTGCCCTGACCTACCATGTGCCCTGACCTACTGTGTGCCATGACCTACCGTGTGCCCTGACCTACCGTGTGCCCTGACCTACTCTGTGCCCTGACCTACTGTGTGTCCTGACCTACTATGTCCCCTGACCTACTCTGTGCCCAGGCTCAGGGCACCGGTGCGTGGGTTCCTGATGTGCTCCCGGGTTGAGGGAGGGGGGCAGGAGGGGAAGAGGGGGAGCAGCAGCCTGTCCCCTCCAGGCCCCACAGAGCCTGTGGGCCTCAGGACTGCCTCTCTTGGGGGCGGCCCCAGCCGTGGGCTCCGGGGTCTCAGAGACACGGCTCCCGGGGCAGGGCCAGCGCGGTGCCCACTGCCTGTGCCAGGGGAGCCTCGGGACGCCGCTGTGCCTGCGACCTGCACCCCGTGAGCTCAGCCGACCCCTCCGTCTCCGCCTCCGCCCCTCAGCGGCCCCTGAGCTCGGGGGAAAGCACAGTGACCGCCTCTCCCCGGGGCGGGGGGGGGGCGGCAGCCGGGAAGGCGCTCACCTCCGGCTCCAGGAGGCTGCTGTAGGCGGGGTTGGCCGTGCTTCTCCGCTTCCGCTCCTGCCGCTTGCTCTGGATTTCTGCGGGGCAGACGCCGGTCACCCTCCCTCCCGGTCACCCTCCGTCTTGCCAGGGAACCCGCGGCTTCCCCAAAGCCCTGGCCATCACCCCCCCCCCCCCCATCCCACGCCCCTGTCTGCACAGGCTGGGGCCTCCAGGCACCGCTCCCCACCCCCGCCCCCGGGAAGGACACACCATGGCTCCGGCGGGAAGGACGCAGGCAGGGTGGCAGGTCCGGGGCCCCGGTGCCATCCAGCTGGGGCCCTCGGACCTCGGGCAGCAGGTGCCTTTGGGCAGACGCCGGCCCGGCTGAGCCGCCCGTGAGGCGAAGGGCTCCGGGCCAGGCCTGCAGCTCAGGGGCCGCCCCACGAGGCCCGGCCCGGAGCCTTCAGGAGGCCAGGCTGGCAGTGGGCGGGCCTCCAGGCGCTGTTCACCCTCGGGCGCTGCTCTCTGGCCAGGGGACCCAGAACCCACTGCTCCGGTCCGATTCCTGCCGACCACCCGCTGCCCCCCCCCCCCGCCCCTGTGCACAAGGGGGACCTCACCTTCCAGGTGCTCCGCGGTAACCAGGCCTAGCGCCACCATGAAGGCGATTTTCTGAGGGAAGGAAGCAGAGAGGTGTAACCTCGGCTTCATGGTCCATCCATCCACTCATTCATTCATCACTCACTCACCAGGCAATGCTGAGACCCGTGCGCTGGCCCCTTCCTGTCTCCTTCACTTTAAGCTAACGGGCTTTCTCTGGCCGGGGCCACACCCGAGACCCACGTCACACCTGTCCTCACGCCATCCTAGCGCCTCGGACCCGGCGTGTCTCAGCACCCCTCGTTCTTATGCCCCTGACGGTGTGAGGGGCAGGGACTTCACAGCGGGCGGGGGGAGAGAACACAGAGAGGAAATGCCTTTTCTTTTATTTTTTTAATATATATTTCTTTATTGATTTCAGAGATGAAAGTAGAGGGAAAGAGAAACATCAATGATGAGAATTATTGATCGGCTGCCTCCTGCACGCCCCCTACTGGGGATTGAGGCCGCAACCTGGGCCCGTGCCCTTGGCTGGAATCGAACCTGGGACCCTTAAGTCCGCAGGCCGACGCTCTATCCATTAAGCCCACTAGGGGGGGAAATGCCTTTTCGTTACATCCTGTCAGGGATTCTGACTGGCCACCCGGCTGAAGAGGGCCTGGCAGGGTTCCCACCGGGACCTTCCCTTCACCCCATCTCCCCCCCTTTTTTATTTTTTATTTTTGGCTAATCCTCACCTGAGGATGCTTTCCCATTGATTTTTAGAGAGTGGAAAGGAGGAGGGAAGACAGAAATATTGATGTGAGAGATACCTCGACTGGCTGCCTTGGGCATGCACCTGACCGTCCCAATGAGGCTGGGCTCGAACCTGCAACCGAGGAATGTGCCCTTAACAGGAATGGAACCCAGACCCTTCCATCTGCAGGCCGACGCCATCCACTGAGCCAGCCAGCTAGGGAGGAGTCAGCGTGCACTGCCCTCGCTCCGGGAGTTCTGGGGCACATGCGGACCTTTAACAATGTGTATGTGGTGGGATTTATAGATATTTCCCTCTGCAGTGTTTGTTTTTGAATTTTGGCTAGAGGCTTAGGTTATACAGCAAGTCAGCTGTGCCTTATTTCAGTCCCTACGGTTCACATTTTACATTTAGATTTCGGATCCAGCTGAAACTGGTTTGGCTCAGTGGATGGAGTGTCAGCCTGCGGACTGAAAGGTCCCAGGTTCGATTCCGGTCAAAGGCATGTACCTTGGTTGTGGGCACATCCCCAGTGGGGGGGGGGGGTGCAGGAGGCAGCTGATTGTTTGTTTTTGTCTTTTGTTTTTAAATATATTTTATTGATTTTTTACAGAGAGAAAGGGACAGAGACAGAGAACCAGAAACGTCGATGAGAGAGAAATGTCGACAAGCCGCCTCCTACACACCCCCCATTGGGGATGTGCCCGCAACCAACGTACATGCCCTTGATCGGAATCGAACCTGGGACCCTTCAGTCCGCAGACCGACGCTCTATCCACTGAGCCAAACTGGTTTCGCTGATTGGTTTCTAACCCTCTATCCCTCTCCCTTCCTCTCTGTAATAAATCAATAAAATATATTTTTTTAAGAAGAAAAGAAATAGATTTCGGAGCCACCTGGAATTTATCTGAGAGTAAGGGGATCCATGGGCATATTTACTGGGATGATGTCAAAGCTATAAATTAGCCGAAACCGGTTTGGCTCAGTGGATAGAGCGTCAGCCTGCGGACTGAAAGGTCCCGGATTTGATTCCAGTCCAGGGCATGTACATTGGTTGGGGGCACATCCCCGGTAGGGGGTGTGCAAGAGGCAACTGATCGATGTTTCTCTCTCATTGACGTTTCTAGCTCTCTATCTCTCTCCCTTCCTCTCTGAAAAAAATCAATAATATATATATATTTTTAAAAAGCTATAAATTAACTCTATAACACCAACATTTCCTATCAAACCATGGTGTGCCTCTCTTCTTTTCACCTTCAGGGGCTTCAAACTTTCAAGTGGGTGTTGAATACTTTATTGCTATTATTCCGAGGCATTTACTCTGCTTGTTGCTATGGTGAATGGTCTGTAAAGTTTTGTACGCTAATATTACACCCGCCACCACACGGAATTCTCTTAGGGTCTGTGGCAGTTTTTCATCCATTTTCTGAAGTTCAGGGCTGCGTGGACCGGTCAGCAGCCAGCCTGGCCCTCACCCTCTGACATCGCTGCATCAGGCCCTTCCCGCCCACTAAGGTCAGTGCCTGCCCTGGGCTGTGTCTCCACGGGGACTGACCGTTCCCCCGTACCCAGGGGGTCATTCAATGTGTGAGCTACAGGATTTCATAAGCTTTTGGGGGTTATACTTAGAAATCACTAAAGCATCACCACACCAAGAACGGTGGGTGCCCGCATCCCAGTCCCGTCAGAGGCGCCCCGGGTTAATGCAAGACCAACGCCGACGACGAGGGGCCCCAGAGCGGCTGCAGGGGGAACCGGTCCAGCAGCTCCCGCCAGCCGGTACAAGGCCAGGCTGAGGTGCGGTGCCCCTGGGACCCCTATCCCTCCTGGTCCCCTCTGAGCTGGAGTCTGGACACAGCCACGCCTTCATCCCCACCCAGGTTTTATCTGTTGCTGCTCTGGGTCTGCGGATGGGGACACCCGAGAGTGATCCTGATGGGATGCACGCTGATGAATTCCAAGAGGTGGTGACCTCCTTATTTCCGAAAGGTCCTTCTCGTGGCAGAGTGAACGGACGGGGGGACCCATCCAGGGGCAGGGGGACCAGAGCCGGGGAGAGCCGGGCAGAATGGGGCCTCGGAAGCGGGGATGGTGTGGAGGCGGCAGCATCTGAGCGCACAGGTGTGACCCCGAGGCGGCCGGGCTACGGTGCGCTCAGGCCTCATGGGGCTGGCCCCGCTCCGGCTGGCTGTGCGGGGCACACGGTGGTCCGAGGGTGGCCAGCTCAGTCAGGTGACGCCCGAGGCCAGGACAAGGGGTGGGGGGGTCCTCGGGCACTCTGCCCGGACCGCGCTAGCACAGGTTGGAAGGCGCCCTGCTGCTCCGAGCCTTCCTTTAAAAGGAACCTTGACAAAGACTTTTATGCCGAGACCGCTGTAATTGCAAGTTCTATTTAAGCCGTTACATGTATTTATGATAATTATAGTTAGATGTAATTACACTAATTGTATAAATGAGCAATAATAGACTAAGATAACTTGGAGAGAACAAAGAACCCGCCAGAAAGCCCTCGGAAGGTTAAGAGTGGGGCAAGACCCCTGGGGGCAGAGGCTGCTCGTGTGAGCCTGGGCTCCGAGCCAGATCAGCGCTCCCGGTGCATACAGCAGGTGCTCCGAGTGCTCCCGGTGCATACAGCAGGTGCTCCGAGTGCTCCCGGTGCATACAGCAGGTGCTCCGAGTGCTCCCGGTGCATACAGCAGGTGCTCCGAGTGCTCCCAGTGCATACAGCAGGTGCTCCGAGTGCTCCCAGTGCATACAGCAGGTGCTCCGAGTGCTCCCGGTGCATACAGCAGGTGCTCCAAGTGCTCCCCCCGTTGCCATGGACCTCAAACGCCTGTCTCTCCTGAGATAAAATTGGGCCTGGGGCCCTGAGGAGCCTTGGCTCCCAGTCAGCCTGGACGAATCCCACAGGCCAGCCCTCACATCCCTCTCCTGCTCAGAGCTACGCCAGGCTCCCTGGTGCCCAGGAATGAGGTGCTGCCGGGGCTCCACGGAGCCAGCTGCGGGCCGTCTGAGCAGGCGGCACAGACCGCCGACTCTCCGGGCATGCTGGGCCCTCCCACCTCCATGCGGTCGCCCGGGCAGCACCCTCTGCCTGACCCGCATCCCTCTTGCCGCCTGCCCCTCTGCTGAGACCCTGCCTGTTCCTCCGGGCCCTGCTGGCCACTCCCCTCGTGGGCAAGCCCTCAGGTCCTCCCAGGTGGAAGCACGGCCCTCGCCCTGCACCTCTGAGTCTGACTGTGCCCCTCTCTGCGACGCCTGGCATGTTCACCCAAGTCCCGTGCCTGCCTGCCACAGGGCGAGTGGCCCTGGGGCCAGGACTACGCCCGTCCTTGCCTGGGCCCCACCCTCGGCACAGAGCCTGGCATGCGTCATCCTCACGAATAACTGAATGCACAAAGGTTCCTTCTTGTAATAAAGACATTAACAAAAACGATCCTAAAGAGCAAGCCCAGAGGGCTGGGTGGTCAGGGAGGGCTGCCCGGAGGAGACAACGTCTGCAGTAAACGTGAGAAAAGGGGAGTTTGCAGGGACAGAGGGGGCCAGGCAGCCCAGGCAGCACCAGGGCCCTCACTGCTGGGACCCAGACCCGCTGCCTCCTCCACTTCCATGGGTGCAGGTGGTGCATTAGGAGGGGTAGGGAGAGTCCGTCCTCCTTCCTGCTTCTCACAGGGGTTGGCAAGGGGGTGCTGTGTACAGTTCTGGAAAGTTCTATGGGCACCTTCCGGAGACACCTGCGCCTCCGCCGCCAGCCGTGGGCAGCGGTTGACTTCTCAGGTAAAAGTATGTTCTGCCCGCCTTCAGGCACTCGTGATTGGTCACGGGCAGAGAGAAGAGTTGTGATTGGCCACACCAGAGAAGAGCCGTGATTGGTCACAGGCAAAGAGCTGTGATTGGTCACAGCAGAGAGAAGTGATTGGTCACAGCAGAGAGAAGAGCCGTGATTGGTCATGGGCAGAGAGAAGAGCAGTGATTGGTCACAGAGAGAGGAGAGTGGTGATTGGTCACAGCAGAGAGGAGAGCGGTGATTGGTCACAGCAGAGAGGAGAGCGGTGATTGGTCACAGCAGAGAGGAGAGTGGTGATTGGTCACAGCAGAGAAAGAGCCGTGATTGGTCACAGGCAGAGAGCAGAGTCATGATTGGTCACAGCAGAGAGCAGAGTCGTGATTGGTCATAGCAGAGAGAAGAGCGGTGATTGGTCACAGCAGAGAGGAGAGCGGTGATTGGTCACAGCAGAGAGGAGAGCGGTGATTGGTCACAGCAGAGAGGAGAGTGGTGATTGGTCACAGGCAGAGAAAGAGCCGTGATTGGTCACAGGCAGAGAGCAGAGTCATGATTGGTCACAGCAGAGAGCAGAGTCGTGATTGGTCACAGCAGAGAGCAGAGTCGTGATTGGTCACAGCAGAGAGCTGTGATTGGTCACAGCAGAGAGAAGAGCGGTGATTGGTCACAGGCAGAGAGCAGAGTAGTGATTGGTCACAGCAGAGAGGAGAGTGGTGATTGGTCACAGCAGAGAGCAGAGTCGTGATTGGTCACAGCAGAGAGCTGTGATTGGTCACAGCAGAGAGGAGAGCGGTGATTGGTCACAGCAGAGAGGAGCCTGGGATGCTGTGGGCCACTGGTGGTTCCTCCGAGGCAGCAGGGCCCTGAGGACGGGCGTGACCACGGAGGGACCAGGCTGTGGGATCGGGATGGGGGTGACGGTCCGGGGCTCCCCCCACAGCACCGCCGGGAGGGAAGACGTGCCTCCATTTCAGACGGGACAGGGGGTTCCCCGTGGCACCCCGGACCCAGCCACGGGATGCAAACCCAGGCCCAGGCTCCAGCCTGCTCAGCGGCCCCCGGCGCCCCCGCACAGGCCGACTCCCCGCACCCCGACAGCAGCCCTGCACAGCACCTACCTCGGGGTCTTCCTGGCTCGGGGGCCGGCCTTCCTCCCCTTTGGCGGCCTGAGCTCCCTGAGGCGGCTCCTCCGAGGGCGGCCGCGGCCCGGCCTCGCTCTCGGGCTGTGTCTGCACCTGAGGCTGGATGATGATGACCTGGAAGGCACGGCGCAGGCGGGGTGAAGGGGTGTGGGGGTTAGGAGGGGTGAGGGTGGGGGGGAGGGAAGCAGGAGGGGGAGCTGGGGGGGCGCAGGGTGACCCAGGTCTGTCACCCCGGAGGGCGCGGGCCCTGGAGCGCCGGATGGCGGGAGGGGGCGGCTGTGGAGCTCTGCAGCCTGTGGCAGGGCGTGTGCCGCCGCCGCCCTTCACCGCGGAGACAGCCTGGGGAGCAGGGGCCTGGCCGAGGACCCGGGGCCGGGTTGGGTCCTGTGCTCCGGGCCCCCGCTGGTGCCTTTGGGAGGTCAGGCCGCCTCTACCCTCAGCGTCCTCAGGAGAGGTTAACCCCCGACTCAGATGCAGGTAAACTGAGGCCGCGGGGGAGCCGAGGGCTGCATGACCTGGCCACCCACCTCCTCCATCCCCTTCGGCCCCAGGCCACTGTGTCCGAGGTGCTCCCACTTGGCCAGGAGGGGGCGGGAGGGTGGGCATAAAGCTGCTTTTCTCACTCTGAGGAGCCCTGCCGAGCCCAGGGGTGGGTGGGCGTGTGGAGGAGGGGGGGTGGGCTCCAGGCCTCACAGAATCACCCTGAGCAGCCCCACTTTAGGCAGCCCCCACCCAGGGTCAGGGCACCCCCACCAGGGGTCAGGGCGGCCCCCACCCGGGGTCAGGGCGGCCCCTGGGTCTGATGGAAGCTCAGAGGCTGGAAAGTCTGAAACTGACTCCCCTGGGTGGCTCGCTCCCCTCGGGCTCAGCTCTTTCATTTCTGTTCTTAGACAGGAAATGGGGGAAATCCTTATATTTCTTGGGTCCAGGGGAAGGAACTCAGGGCGGAGCCAGGAGTAACTTGGACTGGCATTTCCCCCTGAGAACGGGTGTGACTTGTGAATCGTGATGGCTGCTTCTTCCTATCACAGTTTAAAACCCCGGCATTCTCTGGATGGGAATAACGCCCGTCTATATTCACAGGGAGAAAAACACGAAGGTCCCCCACAGCAAGAAGGGAAAAGAATATCCTCGCCGAAACCGGTGTGGCTCAGTGGATAGAGCGTCGGCCTGCGGACTGAAAGGTCCCAGGTTCGATTCCGTCAAGGGCATGTACCTTGGTTGCGAACACATCCCCAGTGGGGGGGTGTGCAGGAGGCAGCTGGTTGATGTTTCTCTCATCGATGTTTCTAACTCTTTATCCCTCTCTCTTCCTCTCTGTGAAAAATCAATAAAACACATTTAAAAAGAAAAAGAAGAAGAAGAAGAATATCCTCAAATGACACACAGAGTTCTTGAGGAGTACAGGAGAAACATTCAAGTTCAATAACCAAACAACTCAGCTCCAACAGTATCTGTTTGTCCAACTGAATGAAGTGCTGAAATCAACACCCCCCCACGCGGCTGCTCCGCACACTCTGGACGGGCCGCCTGGTCCACACTCCCTCGTGGGCCCGCCCTGGTCCACCTCCTCATGGGACCGCGTCAGACCAGCCCCTGACAACGCTTCCGGCTTTTGGAATCCCTGGGGACACGGTCCCGAGGTGGCAGGGCACATAAATACGCTGCGGGCAGAGCCAGGGTGGCAGAAGGGGAGTGCCGGCCCTCAGGCTGGGGAGTGACAGCCATGCCGGCCACAGACAAGAGGGGGGCAGCCTGGCGGACCCCAAACTGTGGCCAGGAAAAGAGGCCGAAGGAAGGAAATGCCACTTTGGATACAGCCGAAGGCCTCAAAGCAGTCCGAGGCGCTTGGAGGGAAACAGGGAGACGATCTTAGTTTTAAATCAGATTTTTCTAAAAAATCACAGGTTTTTCCAGTCAGACTCCTGGGTCCGAAAGTCCTTGGCCGCCTCACTCCACCAGCACAGCCACAGTCAGCGTGGGCTCCCCTGCGTCACCCCTCCCGCCACATTGCAGGAGGCAGGCACCCCAGTGAACAGAGTAATTATCGCCCTGACCAGGCATTCTGGTTTCACTGGAATTAACTTGCTGGGCCATAGAGTCTTCCAGTCACACACCCGTTTATCTGCACCCCCATTCATTCATGCATGTGTGGGTCCACCACCTGACCACTCATTTGTGCCCCGTTTATCCCTTCGCCCACCTGGCCACCCAGCCCTGTCTTTCCTCGGCCCGGCCGTTCCCCGGCGCCTCCTGGAGGGCACGCGGGCCTGCCGCTCGGCTCACCTTGCTGTCGGTGCTGATGAGCAGGGGCTGCACCTTGATGCTGTCGCTGACCACGGACACGGCATTGCCGGGCGCCGCGGAGAGGATGGCGTAGGCCACCCCGGCGGCCGGCTCGGCGAGGGCCTGGGGCTGGCTGCCGGGCGCTGGCGCATGGCTCACGGTGTTGTTGGCGGTGGGGAGGGCGGGGCTGGGGTTCTTGGCGCTGACCACGGCGGCCTTCCGGAAGGCTGGGGGCTGGGGCGGCCGGTCCCGGGCGGGGGTGACGGGGAGGCTGTCTGGAATCAGAGTCTTTGGCCTAACCTGGGGGAGGGAGACGGACGGATGGACAGGTGGACGATGGAGATATTTAACCATGGCCCCCGTTTACCAGTAAAACCCCCTCCCCGCAAGGCCCGGTCCAGAAATGAGTCGTTCAAGCAGCAGTGCTGTGAGGCGGCCATTCTGGGCCAGCCCAGCTCATTCCTCGTTTTAGAATCCTGTCGTCACCCACTGCGCTGATTTCCCAGATCCTCTGGGAACCGCCGGTGCTGGTCCGAACGCTCGGAGGGCGGGAGGAGCCGGCGAGGGAACGGGCTCCGCCAGCTCAGTGCCCGCCAAAGCCTCCGCGCCGAGGGGCTGGGGCAGCGGCCGCAGACAGACGGACAGACCCCGGCGCCCAGCCTGGGCTGCTTACCTGAGGTAGCACTGCCACTCCTTGCCCGGCCAGCCTCTGCAGGGAGCTGACCTGAGGCCCCGGGACAGGCACTGCAGTGATGGACCCCAGAGCCTGGAAGACAGGGCGCGGCTGAGCGGCCGGTCAGCAAGGAACCCGCCCCCCGGCTCCCCGACCTGCGGCCCCGGCCTCAGCCCTCCGGCCTCCACCAGGGAGCTGCAAGCACATGCCTGGTGTTTACAGCCCACCTCCTCCCCGCGCCCGTCTGTGGGGCTGTTACAGCGGCTCAAGCCGCCCAAGACCGCCTCCCAGAGGCTGCGATCTGAGCCTTCCTTCTGGTTGGTGCTCGGACACCAGCGACCCTGCCTTAGAAATGCAGTTGGGGATGAGGGAGGGGACGCAGGGGCGGCTGAACAGAGGCAGCGAGGGCAGGGCCCACGTCAGCGGAGAAATAGCTTTGCTTTGACCCGGTTCTCTGCCAGAAACCGAATGTTGTCACTAGTGGTTAAACGTGAAAAGAAGGATGGCCAACCTTAACGGCTCTGAATGGTCCAAGCTAATCACAGTTTAGTGGAGACATTGGTAGCTAAAGCAGCCTCCACCTGTTAACCATATGCAAATTCTTGCTGATTGGCTATTATTGGAATTTCCTGCCAAAAGGATATGGGTGTTTCCCAGAGACTCAATAAAGAGAGAGCGCTGAGGCCGGTGTTGCTCAGTGGATAGAACATTAGCCTGCGGACTGAAGGGTCCCGAGTTCGATTCCGGTCAAAGGCATGTGCCTTGGTTGCGGGCACATCTCCAGTAGGGGGTGTGCAGGAGGCAGCTGATAGATGATTCTCATCGATGTTTCTATCTATCCCTTTCTCTTCCTCTTTGTAAAAAATGAATAAAATATATATTTTTTAAAAAATAAGAGAGCAAAGGCCAGAGCAGGGGTAGTCCTCCCCCTGGAGGACTCCTGCCTGACCCCCCCCCCCCTCATTTTCCCAAATTAACTCTTCATTTGTGTGCAGCTTCTCCAGGACCCGAACCCCGAAGAGGAACCCTGAACCATGCGGGACATGAGAAGGGATCCCACATCCGGTGCCCGAGGCACAGCTCCCACCCTCGGTCACCAGCAGGAAACGGCCCACCGCCCTCTGGGCCTCGGAACCCCACCGCCTCGGCGCCCTGGGGTGTCACGGGGGAGGCGCACAGCGTCCTCCCGGGGCGCCCGCCGAGGCCCAGCACGCTTGGCTGGGGAGAGGCCTCCAGGCGCGGGCAGCGGCCTGAGGGGCGGCCCCAGGGCCGGTGTGCAGCCCCAAGGACAGAGACAGATGTCCACACCCAGCAAGCACCACCCAGACCGCAGGCAGAACGTTCCTCAGACCCAGGGCGCGGGTTCGAGTCCCTGAGCCGGCAGCCGCGGTTTTCTAACCTGCTGGCACCATTAGCTGGCTGAGCAGCCACTCGGTGCCGGCCACGCGGGGCCCCGCCCACTCTGTGCCGGGCCAGGACGTGAACCCAACCTGACACCCCTCGGCCAGCAGAGGCGGAGGAGGACAGGAAGGGGAGGGGGTCTGCCTGCCGATTCCCTCAGATCTGGGGGTGACTATAGGACCCCCGTGAGGGTGAGGAAACCGGGGCGGGGGTGGTGGGGGGAATGACCTGCCCCAGGCAAATGGCTGGTGAGAGGCATTGGAGGGACCCAAGGGTGGGCTGAATCCCACCAACACCCCCCACCCTGTCCGGTGGGAGGAGCGGGGACATGGAGCTCTGAGTCCCCTGCAGGGTCAGCACGGCCCTCGGACGTACAGTGGGGGCTGGGGAGTCTGGATGGAGCGGAGGCGTTGTGTCCCAGCTGCCGCGGGGCTCGGCACACAGGAGGCGCTTAATAAACGCACTCCCTCTCAGAAGTGCGTCCCGCGGGACAGAGGGACCTGACATTTGGGGGTGGCACTTTGGTGTGGGAGGTGACGGTTGTGGGAGAACCACTGGGAGCTCGGAGTGGGGGCCCATGGCCAGGTGGCCCCTCTGTGCAGAATGGGAAGCATCCTCCTGCTGCTCCCACTTCAGATCTCTCTGGACCAGCGCCCTCCTCTCCTGACTCAGTTTCCCACTCCTGTGGTGGGGCCACCAGGCTCACATGGTCAGACCGTCACCAGGAAAGGTCTCCTGAACTTGACACTGAGGTGACCCAGGCCTGTGGCAGGGGCACGGGGACCACAGCCCCCCGGGCAGCCCCGCAGCCGAAGCTCGAGGCCCTCGCTGTGAGCTCGCTCCCTCTGCAGGAGAGCCCTGTCTCACCTCACTCTTTCTCCGGCGGCTTCTGGGCGCCAGCCCCCTTATGCTGGGCGGGCTCCCCACCCAGGACCCACCCCAGCCTCCCCACACCCCCAAAGCCTCAGGAAGGTCCCTGACCGCCCGGCGTCCGTTTCCGCAGGCGGAGCCGTGCCCTGTGCTCAGAGTGGCTGCGCCACGAAGGGAGAGCGTACGTGAAGGGTTTTAGCGCTGCAGCTGAGGGCAGTGACCGAGGCTCCACACGGGCCTGTCTGTGCCTGGTGGGCACTGCTGGGCTCGGCCACAGCGCCCTCTCCCCCGGCACCACGTCACAGCCTGCAGGGGAGGGCGTGGAGCGGCACCGGGCAGGTCAGCAGCGCCCACAGGCGGACCCGTGGCCTGCGACCCAGGCTCCCCGGAAAGAGGCAGGTTCCCGCGAGGTGCCGGGGCGGGGCTGAGGCGGGTGACAGAGGCTGTCACCAAGTTCACGGCAACGCCTGACCGTGGAACCCAGACCTCCTCACCCTGAGCCTCTTCTCATCACTCAGCTCCCGGGGGTGGCGGCAGGTGAGCAAGGAGGTCATGGCCTGCCCGTTAGCCCGGCGAGAGGCTCCAAATGGAATCTCACCGCCAGTGACCGCCAGTGCTGCCCTCACTCACCCTTCAATGGCAGAGAGACTGGGGTTTCCCTGCGGGGGGGGAGGGTGTTTGAGGGGAGACCCAGGGGGCCTGATGATCAGGGGGTGAGGGCCCCAGGGCTGCTGCTGGGCCGCCCGGGGCAGTGGACTTTGGGAACCCACTTGCCCTCTTTGGAGACCGGGAACAGGTGGAGACGGGCGGTCCTGCCACGAGGTGCGTATGGGCAGTCACCGCCCACGCCCTCTCCGGCTGCCCGTGGTGCTGCTGGCTAAGGCCCTGAATCCCCGACTGAGCGCTAACCCTGCCCAGCCAGGCCCAGCCCTTCCCGGGACCCTCCCTCCTGCACCTCAATCCCCTCTTTCTGGGCTTCACTCCTTTATTTGGGGGATACCCCGCCAAACTCCCTGCCCCCCAAGGTCAGGCCCTGCACCCGGAGCTGCGTGGAGATGCCGGCAGTGGGACCCCGGTTGTGCTAAGAGCTCGGAGGCCGTTCAGTCTGAGCCATGCCCTTCGGTTACGGAGGGCCGCCTGCCTTCTGGTCTGCCGGCCCGGCCTGGCCCGGGCATCGGTGCTGCCGAGTGGGCTCGGGCGCAGCTCAGAGGCTAACATGGGAGGGGAGGGAGGGAGGGAGGGAGGTGTGTCATGTGGGCTCACCTGGGGCTGCCCCTGCGGGCACTGATCACTCTGAATCAAGCAAAGACGCCCATTCACACTCACACTACCCTAATGGGTGACACGCGGGCCTTGGGGGAGCGACACAGAACGGTCCTGAGAGAGGCCTGGCGTCCATCAAAGAGAAAACAAAAGAAGGGAAGGACAGTGAAGCCCTGAGGAGGAAATCACTAAGAAGTTGTTAAAAAATAATGACAGGAAGTGATATGGGAAAACAGCAAGTAAAGTTTCAAAACAGCAACTGAAATTCGTAAATCTGTCACGATATATATTTCTATGCTGTGCATGAGGCCCCTAGAACCTTACTAAATGCACAAATTCCCAGCTAATAACTCATTCTCCAGCTGCCCCCTCAAACATCAGGTCGCCCCCTGTGGGCCCCAGACAGGAGCACGGAGCCAGCGGCCGGTCCCTTCCAGGCCGTCGCCGACGCTCCCGGACTGGCCCAGCGCTGAACAGTGCACGTCACATCGAGCCAGACCGAGGGCGAAGGGGGCGATGGCTCCGCACACAGCAGGCAGCCCCCCACGCTGCGTTCACAGCTCGAATCAGAGCTGCCGAGCGTGACTGCGACGCCGGTTTAACAAGACCAGGGTGGTAAGCGGCGCTATAGATGCCATCAGATTGGTTTTAATTAACGGCGTGGGGAGTGGAGATCCTGTGCTGCTGCTCAGCGCCCAATCGTTCCACAAATAGACAGAAATGCGATTTAACAAATGGAGTCGCCCTGCCCAGAGGCAGATGCCCTGGGATCTTCCCGCCTCCTCCCCCTGCTCCCCAGCCTCACCTCCGCTGAGGGCCCTGCTTCTCATTTCACCGAGGAGAGAGAACTTTCCAGAAGTCACCACCACCATCTCTCTACACCACAAAGTGCATCAAGACCCCGTCCTCCCCAGGGATGGAGGCCCAGGGCCCCAGCTCCTGGCCGGCTCCTGCCTGGCCTCACCCCTCCTCTGGCCCTGAGCGGGAAGGGCAGGTGGCAGAGAGGCAGGAGCCATCAGGGTCACAGCGGGAATCCTGTCTCCGGCAACCCCCATGTTGGCCAGGGAGCCTCCTGCCCGCCCTGCCCTGCCCAGCCTGCCCCCTTGGCCACCCTCCCAGCTACCGGACCCTCACCGGGATGTGCGGACCCTCACCGGGATGTGCCGGGCCCTCACCGGGATGTGAGGACCCTCACCGGGATGTGAGGACCCTCACCGAGATGTGCCGGACCCGCACCGAGATGTGCCGGGCCCTCACCGGGATGTGCCGGACCCTCACCGAGATGTGCCGGACCCGCACCGGGATGTGCCGGACCCTCACCGGGATGTGAGGACCCTCACCGGGATGTGCGGACCCTCACCGGGATGTGCGGACACTCACCGAGATGTGCGGACACTCACCGGGATGTGCGGACCCTCACCGGGATGTGTGGACCCGCACCGGGATGTGCGGACCCTCACCGGGATGTGCCGGGCCCTCACCGAATGTGCCGGGCCCTCACCGGGATGTGCCGGACCCTCACCGGGATGTGCGGACCCTCACCGGGATGTGCCAGACCC